TCCTGGGAATGGCTCACTTAACTGATCCAGCCCTGATAACCTCTGTAGTTAACCACCATGTGGCTATGGCAGTGATCACGCCTGTCAGTGTCAAACGGTTCTGTGTGTTTATTAAGCAAGAAATGAGATCTAAGAGGGCTGAAAGTTGCTTTGAATTATAAATGACTAAAGTCAAAGTCTTAGATTTTGATTTTGGCCCCTTTAACTAACTGTGACTCAAGGATGTAACATCTTTCAGCCTTGGTTCCTCATTTTTAAGATAAGAGAACTAAGGTAACATCTCTAAGGTGACATTTATCTCAAATTCTAAATATAGAAAGTTAATGGGCACAAAGATGATTATCCTCTGGGCTTCCTCTGACCACAGCTCAAATGGGGAGAACCCCTCTTCCTGCAGTGTAGATGCCATAGCCACATTTTCTAACTGACTCCTGTATTCTAATTGTTCTGCCTGGCCATTCTAGGACAGTAATTTTTTGTGAACTTCAAGTATCATGTTTTAGAAACAGTTTTACTTTCTGGAAAGGAAAATTTAAGAGAACTTCCAAAGACTGTCTTGTATGTTTTTCAGTTTATGTTTAAATAAATCTTCAGGGACCCTATGGGGATGAGGGGTGGGAAGGAAGAGTGGCTCGCTGTCATGTACAGTTCCCAGCAAAGACATCACTGGAAACCTGGAGCTACACTGACTCAGCTGGCAAAGAGAGAGGGCCTTATCTCAAGTAGTTACAGATACCACCATCTCTACAGCACTCTGTGATAAAGTGGCTGCATTCTTACTGAACCAAGGCGTGAGAATTCTCAGAGAAGTCTTCCCTCTCAGTCCCTGTTGCTACATAAAAGAAATGCAAAAGGAAGAGCCTTGTACTTTGAGAGAAGCACTAGGCTCCTTTCAAACTATGACTAAACATTGTGATGCATTTAATATGAACAAAGGCACAAAAAAGGATTTGCCAAATTCAGTCAGCCAGTTACAAACTGAACTGCATTAGAATTCGCAGCTGTTTATCCAAACTTTTGTGCCATATGGCTCAGGCTCAGGGCCCTCTCTATTCTCAATTTTGTTCTTCTTACAAAGTACAGACCCTGGGCCAGCTGGTGGCATGGTGGTTAAGGCAGCTGGATCCCACCACACTGGGCGCATGTGTGTGCATGCCCAAAATCCTGAAGGGAGTGAAGAGATGAAGGAGAAGGGACTGTGGCTTGACCATGTCCCCAGGGGGTACTTTGTCCCTCTGCCTCTGTCTCTCTCCTATGAGCACATGCCTGGCAAATTTAAAAAAAGAAAGAAAGAAAGTACAGATCATGACTACATGTGGTTTGCCTCATAGGTCATAACCTTCTTGTGACAGAACAACCAGCAAGGAACAGAGTAAGCAGTCCTCTATATTTCCCCAGTCTCCAAAAAAGCCTTTTCAGAAACAAAAGCAAAAGGTTCTATCTTACCTGTCGATGACTAAGTTCCCATCATTGTTGCGGATCCCTGCCCACATGTCCCACAGCTCACTCTCAGAGGGTCGAGTGTACGGCCCAAAGACTGGGGTGAGACTGAAAGAGTCCAACAAGCAGAAAGATAAGTGTGAGAGCTCAGAATAATAAACATGACTGGAATCTCAGAGGTCATGCGATCTGTCTCTGAACTGATTTATGAATTCCTTTTACCACTTCCCTGGCAAGTGGCCAACACCTTTGCTTTAACATATCAAACCTAGGATTTGGCCCAGAATCGTAATGGCAGCAACTCTTCACTGTTTTGTTCCCAGGCCACAGTCAGTCTGACAGTGACTTACCCTCGGGAGAATACAAAGAAGTTCATCAACCGAGTGAGGATGGGTGACAGCACACCTCCATCTTTGAGTAGCTGCAGGTAAATAAGTCAAAGTAAAAATCAAGACTCCAGAGAAAGATCACAGCTTACCAGAAAAAATGTTTTCACCAGGAGCTAAAAAATAACTCTAGTCAAATCCCCTGCTATTGAAAGCTTTGGTATTTGGCTCTTTAATTTCTGTTTTTGCCTACCCACATTATTTCATGGAAGATAAATTTATAATCTTCTCCTTTAAGATTATATTTGTACACTAACTTTAAACTCATATATATTTAAGCTTAGGCTAGGATCCCAATGTGTTCAAACACTATGCTTCAGATAAATCTCTACATAGCTGGATTTCTCCAAATATTTATTGATCTCTTACTAGAAATCATTTTAGGTTTTACAAAGAGGTGACTTTGATGGCCTTATTTGCCTAACAAGGGAAAAAACCAATTTCCTAATGTCAGTTCAAAAAGATCATTTTAACTATGGCCCATTATAACAGGGTTGGTCCTTAAAAGGTCCCCACAATGTTTATGTCAACACAAATATTAAAACTAAAGATTTATTGAAGTAGCCAACCTTTTGGAGAAGGAGAGGACGGTGAGTCTCAGGAAAGATACCTATAGGAGAAGAGACTTCATCTTAATCATTGGCTAACAAATTAAGTTCAAATGTAAGCCCCTTATTGGAGACTTTGCACCCTATTTACTATCCCCTCTAGGGCCTATACTATCAAAACAGAATTACAAATAAAACTGTAAGGCTGTTATCTACTTCTTCAGAGAATTGTATGTTTAACTGGTCTAATTCGATCTCACTAGAATTAACTGCCCACATTTCAAAGGTAGAGGAACAATTTATGTTGTCATCCATAATGTTGGTGACTGGACACTGACTTCCCTTACTACTGCCTCCCAGTGCTCAGAATTTGGGCTGCAAAAATAAAACCAAACCAAACCCAAAGGTCTTTTTAGGCAGAACGGGTCCTAAAAGTACCTAGATTTCTTTTTCATTTTTCTCCAAAATCAGTGGGAAAAAGCCATGAGCATCACTGATAAAGGGACAGAAAGTCTAATCAATGTAAGCACTTCCCTTTGTAATTCTGTTTTATTTTATATATTTAAAACATCATTTTGAGAAAGGGTCCATTAAATCACATTGGACCAACAAAGCAGCTCATGACACAAAAAAGGTAAAAATTAAAATCTAGTTTAAATGTGTAAAAATCCCTTGGTTTAAATGCCTTTGCTTGCAATACCATCAGATTACTATTTAAATAGTAATACTATTTAAATAGTAATAGTCACTGTGATATCTAGAGGTGGCCCTTCAGGTTACATCATGCTTTCCACCTACCGCCAAGGCAATTACCTCCATTTGACAAACAGAGACTCTTTATGGTAAGCCGACCAGAACGGTTCTGCTTGTACCTGGAACAGGGTATGAGAAAACACATATGTAGCTGAGCAGACTTAATACCAATACAGTGGCTGTAGACAAACTCCCAAGAGGGAAAAAGGCTAGAAGGATTTCAGAACAGTGCCCCTCCCCAGCATCCTAGGCTAGTGCACCTGGGAGGACTCCAGTTGTCTGGGCTTGACTAACCTATAGAGCAGCTCCTGAGCAACAATATCTCCATAATCATGAGACAGGAGGTTGATTCTGCGGTTTTGGAGCCCCAGATGCCGCAAAAGTGCCTCCACGATGCTGGCCTGCTCAAATATGGAATAGTGATGTGGTCTCTAAGGAAGGGAAAGCCCAGAGACACAGGATGAAGTCATGGGTACAGCTCACTCTGCTGGCCCCACCCTCCGGCCATACCCACTCCCACCCCTGACACCAGTCCACACAGGTGCTGCTTACCGGTTTATCACTGAAGCCAAAACCTAAGAAATCAAGGGCAACTACTCGATGAAACCTCAGGGTCAGGCCTTCCCAAATCTACAAGAAAGGAGGATGGTTTGGACTTTCTGCTCATGCCTTTTCCCTCCCGACCTATAGCACAGGAGCTTCATCCCTATCTCAGCTCAACAGACTTCAGCAAAGAGGAAAACCATGAATCACCACAGGCCGTGCAAATCATCCTCTTGGAAAATACCTTATTCCTAGTAATTAAACTCTACCAAGGGAGGAACTCCAGCATTTTAAACTTGGCAGTAATCCTTTCCAGATTGCCAAAGAGCTTTTTTTATTCCCTTCTAGTAAATGAGAAACAGTTAGACGTTTAATGCTGTTTTATTAAGCAGTTCAGATTTGCAAGAACCTTCTTGTGCTGACAACAAGATCCTCGATTTTGGATTTTCTAAGACATAAAAGAAGACTTCGAAGCAGGACTTCATTACCTTATACCAGTCATAGCTGGATGTTGGGAAGCCATGTAAAAGCACAACGATCTCCGGGCTTCCAACCACACCCACGGAATCTGGGGAGAAGGAGAGAACAGTTAGGCTCCACACCTATAAAAAAGAACCTAGAAGGTATTCAAATATAAGTAATCTGGTACAAAGGACTTGACCAAATTGATGACATTAAAAGGATACATTTATATTTTTATTTATTTTGCTTCTATCTGGTTTTTAGACAGAGTTCCACTGTGCCATGATCCTCCTTCCTCGGCTTCCTGTAGCTGGCACCACAGGGTGTGCCACCACACCCCGCTCTTTCGGCCGGGGCTCCCTGTGTTATCCACACTGGCAGTGAGTTCACGCTCATCCTGCCTCGGCCCTCGGAGTGGCTGGGACCATGGGCACATACCACTGTGCCTGGCTTTCTGTTGCATTCCTTTTTAAAATGTCAGCTTACTGTTTCAGGTAAGAAAACATTTTTTCCTCTCAATCTATATATTTAAAAGTTGTCAACAGCACACTTTACGTGGAAATACTCAAAGGTGGAATGCTTTCAAGTTTATTCCCATTTCTCCCTTTATTCTGTATAATGACCGTTAATATCCAAATTAACTTTTCACACTAAAAAGTGAACTTTCACAGTCAAAAGTATACACCCACAATACAGAAGCTACGAGTCCTTTGTGCCCTGTCATTAACAGCCTCACAAAAATTCTCTGAGGATATTTTTTGATGAAAGCCTCAATTTATGCTGTTTGTCCAGAACTTTTTTATTTCAGTAGATCCTCAATCCAGTATCAAAAGCATAATGCTCAAGATTGTTAATAAAATGTTATTAACTATAAAAAAGGGTTAATCAATAAAGACATGAATTTTTTAAAGCACAACACTATGGAATCATGAACTATTTTTAAGTTACTCAAAAATGTAGATGGTAAAACAGCTTGCTAATGCTTTTAGATTACAACGAATGCGTTCATAATGTGCGCTGCCAGTGTCGTGCAAACTTGGTAATGAGATTTTAAAAGATAACTTCGTTAAAAGCAGCTAAACATTTTATATACTCTAGCTTATGAGTCTTACTCATTTCTTTTACACAAGTAGCACAGATCGAAAGTGTAAGGAAGAAATAAACTACATATGTAAAACTTTCCCTTCAACAGTATTTTATAACATTGAAACACTGGAAACAGCGCAAATAACCAACATAAAGCAAATCATTTACTTACTTAATTGAAGCTAGCAAATGAGAGAAGGTCAGGAGCAATAATGAAAAACGGTTTATGACAAACATTTTTCGTTATTGCTCTTGATCCTCGCCCAAAAGAAATCTTCTCCAATCTGTCTCTGAATTTCTTCACCTGGAAAAAGAGATTAATGGCACCTATCTTCAAGTGCTGTTATAAAGATTAAATGAAACCATGAGGGTAAATATAACTCAATTCCTGGCATATGTAATCACTTGATAAGGAGCAGTCATAATAGTAATTATCATTAGCAAATTAATTTGTACTAATTAAGTGTAAGACTTAAATCACATTTAGTTACACATATAGCAGATAGTCTTTATAGAAAATAAATGAAATCAGGGATGGGGAGAGAACATCAACACAGTTACATCTGTGAATATTATATATATTCCCTGACACTAGAGGCACTCAAAAGCCAAACTCATCTCTGCATACAAAATGGGCTGTGAAGAAAACGTATACTAAAAAGTCAGGTCTACAGAGATTGGAATCTCAATGCCCACCTTCCCAGGAATTTTTTTTAGTTTCTCTGCTATCAAGTGAATAAGAGGAACGAGTCCATTCTTAGAGACAAAGGGGTGACTCCCCTCCATCGGTAGACACAAAGCAAGCACCTAAGCTAGGACCTACATGGTCTACCACGCAGGGGGTCCCTACAGTCCAGTTCTTACCTTGGTAGAAGATGCGCAGTCCCTTGTAGGTAAAAAATTTGCCTGAAGACTTCCAGGAGTGAAGAGCAGGAGAAAGCTGAGGGGGCGGGATATGCAGGTACGCGGCCAGCAGTGGCACCGCCAGCAGCCCCACCTGGACCCACCACTCCCTCATCCTGTAGGAGAAGCAGAGACCTGCGGTCAGCAGTCGGGGTCACGGGCATTCTATGAGCCAGCTGGGAAGATGGGCCAGGACACTGCTGCCACACAGTGACTACACTGCCCACACGGACTGTGGCAGTTTACCAAGAACACGATCGCCAGACAGCCTGCTATGGCCGTCGTCATTTGCTCGCCATTCTAATTTTAAGGAAGAAAATGCATTCTTTCAATACACAGCCCTCTACCTCAGCTCTCCCACTATAACCCTTGTGTTTATCCCAATATCAGCTGAAGAGGTGTTAGGGAAATTAAAGGGAAATTACATAAATATTATAAACCCTTCCGCTGGGCATTTATCAAGGCTTCCCAGGTAAAGATAGAGATTCCCTTCATATTTACTCTAAAAGCTCTACCACCTACTCAAGTCCCCGCCAGTACAATGTATATAGATAGGTATGTGTGTGTATACATATGTGTGTGTGTGTCACACACTGAGGTTTTAAGAGCACCAACACAAATAATACATATGCAGTAACATATCACATGTCCTTAATGGAGACCTGGTCCTGATCTGAACCCTCTGGCCCAAGTGAAGCCCCATTTCATAGTATCTGAATGTGGGCTGAGAAGCTTCTCGGGGATATCTGAAAGAAAGATAGAGATACTGTATATTCCAGCATAAGCGGCTTTGGCACAACTGGTATCTAATCTCTTGAGAGGTCGGGGCAGATGGTATTTCTGTTCTTTTTAGCACTCTTGAGAAAGTTCCCATTTATTCTGTTTCTTAGGACTTACCCCCCACCCCCACCATCCCACCCCTAAATGAGACAGGTCACACCCAGCATGTAGAAATCAGTTTTGTCTTTAGAAGGAGAGCCTTGATTTGTACACCCAACTTTTGATGCCTGGGAACTCAAAATCCAGGTCTTTATCCACACCAACGAGTGCTAAACAGGAATTAGAAACGGCTCCCTCTGTCTCGAGTTCAGGACTCCTGATGGTCACTGGGAAGAGAGTGGAAGTTCCCTCAAAACAGAATAGAGATAGTATTTTCCAAAACTAAAGTTGTCAAGCAAATAAAGCGGTAAAGGAAATCCTGAAGCCCTGGTGGAAATGGCTTTGTATCTGTACACACACCTTTCCACCATATTACCTGTCATCTGGTTACAATCCCTACTCATAGCAAACTCATAAAATACCTATTTAAAAATATGTAACTGAAAATAAACCTGTGGTTCCAAATTGATAGCGTAACAGTGTTCTTGAAGAATCAGCTCCTCTGCCTATTCTTTAGGCATTACTAGGACAGTAATTTTTTTCTTCCTACCTGTCTAAAGGAGTCACAGTGATTAGGTTCTACCCTTCAAGATAATACTAGAAATGGTTTTTGAGAGTGCCTGAACATGATGGTTCTATCAGTTCTCACCCCACGGCAGTAGCAGGCTACATCCCTACCTCCTTGAAAGGTAGGATGACAAAAGCATTAAGCTTCGATGATCTTTTCTCAGCGCCCTCTTCCTACAATTCACACTTCCACGTTCGCATTTCATTACTGCTCGCCCCATGCTTCAGGTCCCATTCATTCATAGGTTCCTGCAGCTGGATCTCTGCAGTGACTCAGCAGAGAGCCAGGGAGGGACCTCCAGAGCAGCAAACAGCAGGGGAGGCTCTGCGCTGGTGCTGGGGGGGGGGGTTGGAAACAAAAC